GATCCGTGAGCTGGAAACCTCTATCGAAGAACTTTCGTCTTGGCCTGCGTGTCTGCAGCGCCGCATCTAAAGCGGCTGCGCGCGACGCGAGGTTCGTCGTCTCCTCCTGGAACTTCGTCTTGGCCTCTGCGAGCGCCGACTGGTCTGTCAAGAGCGCGTTGACGCTGGCCGAGAGATCGTTGATGGTCGTCATGAGCTTCAAAATCTTGTTCTCGAGGCGCAGCTCGTTCGATGCAGCGCGTGTTGCTGCGTCGTCGGCTTGCGCTTTGAGCGCCTCGTAAGCCTCGCGTTCTGCCTGGAGCTCTGCGGCCGCGACGAGGACTGGCAGTGCCGGCGGTGGTTCACCAAGACCCATCTCAATGTCCGTGTCAAAGTCCGTGTCCTCCATCAGCGGCCCCGAGAAGACGGTCCACTGATTCGTTTCGTCAACGTCGCCGCCACACGGCGGCCGCGCGCTGCGTCTTCGCACTTGTCTCGGAACTCGGCGCAGTTGGCTGCGAGGGTGGCAGTGGCATCGGCCAGCGCCTTCTCGTGGTCGGCCGAGAGGCGACGCGCGACGTTCGCTGACGTCTGATGCGCTGTTACTAGATCCGATTGGAGAGACGAGACTTCTTGCTCGTCCGCTGACCTCGCAGCCGCTCGATCGGATTGTGACCTGCGACGCTGTGTGCATCAAAAAGTCCATGAGGCGACGCGCTTTTGTACAGTACTCTCCGCGGCTGCATCGCTCGGGTCGAGCTAGCTAGCCTGGCCGGCTCTAAAAATCAATGGCCCGGAAATATCTTCAAGGCGTTGATTGCCCGCGTAAAGAAGTATTTTCATACTAGAAACGATTGTGCTGTGTTAATAGTACCATACGTGGCAGCGTGTCCGTTGTTTTGAGGAATGTCTCCTGGTCGTGCGATCCAACCAACGCTACCACACTACGTCGCAAAGCAGTCGACGCCAGCGCCGCACCAAATGCAGCGTCGACAGTATTCTATTTTGTCCAATCAATTACTGCATAGACTGCAGACTGCAGACGGCACATTAATCGCCTGGGGGCTGGTATGACCAGGAGTATCAACAACTGCTAAAAATGTCTTCTTGACAAAGGCAGCACCATGCTTCTTGCTTGCGCGTCATGGATTGATCTGCATCAAAGGAGACTAGGCATTGGCCGCTCAATATGTAGAAAGGATAGTCTAGTAGATAGCTCTAGTAGGCATAGTTGTACATGCACAACGACGAGGTGTTAGGGCTGATGGGCAAAATGATGGGTGAGGTTGTTAAAGCACGTTTGCCGGAGGAGCGCGACTTGCTCGGACGACTTGGTGCAGTTGACCTATGCGATTGGAGGTATTGTGAGGGAAGATGACATCGAAGAGGACGAAGAGACCGTCGGAATGATCACTTTCGGGTCAAACGCCTTTGTGAACGCGCAGAGCTCGTCAAAGCTCGAGTGCTCGCTGTACGGGATGCCGTAAATGACGAGCGCGTCGTTCATTTGCGTGCGCTTGGACGAAACGGAGGGACCCTTCTTGCGCGAGAAGGTCCATCCCGTCGGCTGGAGCGCAATCACCTTGCGGAAGCGGAGCCGGTGTTTCGCAAGAAGCGCGCGCATCCCGTCAAAGTTCAAGTGGTTCATGGGCACGACGTGCAAGCTACGATCACATCGTGAGTTGGACACAGCAGCATTAGTACGATTGTACTTGGTGGTCGACGACTCGGTCGTGAGGCGCCGCTACGCACGTCATGTCACGTGAGGACCATGGGCGGAAGAAGCGGCAACGTACGAGCTCGGTCTCGGGCCACTCAAAGCACGAGAGCAGTGACAGCTTGGCCCGTTCGACAAACACCTTGCAGTCCAAGTGGGCAGCCACCTACATGCAGTGAGCGACATGGTATATTAGCAACAGACGCGTACGTCCATGAAGAGCCGCTCCTTTCCGATCGAGTACGATCCGACCAAGAAGAGTGGACGGTCATTTTGATGGAGGTCGACGAGACGCTTGGCTTCGGCGATTGCAACTGCCTAGGCACATCGTTGTACATGCTCTTAGGACTAAGAAATCAACCTGCGTCGGGTGGCAGTGCTGTGTGTCGCAGTACGTGGTGTCAAGGTACACGCCGTCCAAGCGTTGGTTTGAGTTTGTGAACGGCGACAAGTAGCGATTGAGCAGCATGCTCGGGTCGTAGCGAAAGTCGCCTGCAGAAAAGTTTGAGTTTGGACGCATAGAGGTCCACGGCGCACCGGTGTGGAGGAACGTTTTGCCCGACTGGAACTGAAACAAGATGATCGCGGCCCCCGGGCAGTGGTTGGCGTCGATGAACGTCATCTGCGCCTTGTGGTCTGCAAGCACATACGGCTGGTGCAGCGGCAACGGATGCAGGTACTTTCTACATGCATCCTCGAGATGCCGTTCGCAGCCTCGATGACAAGACGTACTTGTCGACACCGAGGCAGAGCTGCACGAGCCGTGCTGTCGTCGGCGTACAGTAGATAATGCCCGCTGAGAACGACTAGCACCGAGGTTAGTTGCACCCCGTAAAAATCGCCGACGGACCCGGCCAAGACCGCCATAATGGTCCGAGTGAAAGTGCGAGAGAACGTAGGTCGTCGAGAGCGATGGCGACGCGTACTGGAA